TGCTGCTAAAATGGGGACAATGCTTATACGGGAATGTCCCGAGTGCTGTGATGTCGATTTCTAATTCAACATTCAGCTTTCTTCAGTTAGATCGCGTTGCAAAAGATAAATTGGGAAAGAGAATATTAGTGGGAAATTTCGCACAAAGTCATGAGATTATTAGCGATTTTATGTCCTCATTTATAGTAAAAACATGAAAGGTGTCAACGAGATATTTTTTGCCTTAATGCTGCTAACATGTGTGACAATGTAACCTCTCTTACACTCTGTCAGTCTGTCTGTCTATTTCTTTCTCTTTATATTATTCTTTATTTATTAGTTTCCCACCCCCACACTCCCCTCCCCCCTCCTCCAACCACAGAAAAAAAAAACATTACTGGACTTCTTTGCAAAAAGTTTACTCAACAAAATACATTGCGACCTTCGTTTATTCGAAAACAATCATCGCTTTCTGTGTTATACACGAAGGTACACACGCACACCAGGCAGCTGTGAATGCCTATGATAAATGATGATATTTAAAATGAAAACTATCTTTAAAAGCTCAGGAAGCAATCTCATTCTGTCTCATTCTCTCTGGTTCTCTGTTCTGTTCAATCTCTCACATATCCGTTGAGACGGGATCTTTCAAGGCTTGCAGTTCCATCGCTGGCGTCTCAGCATCGTTGCCTTGCAGTTGTCCTGAAACCACAGCAATGCTTAACGTCATTCTCTGGAATTGACTGTGCTTCATAAAATAGGTCTATGTACTAGTGCAAAAATTTTACAATAAAGGCTTGGTGAAAAGGATAAGAAAGAAAAGTCTTACAGATGCGGAAGAATTGCATGGGTTTCCAATCAATGGAAACAGTATTATAACTGTGTAAATACTTTTTCTTTTTTCCTCCTTTTTCTTCTCCTTTAGTTGACTGACTGACTTTCTACCCCACGAGGACATTACACGAGCGATAAACACCCGATGACACAATGTGCCACCATGTGGGTGAGGATTACCGTGGAGAGGTCCCAGAAACCGCGATCAGCATTTAGGCCATATTTACGGCCAGGCTATATTGCGGCCCCTGGCAAGAGCCAGAGTAGGGTTTCAAACAACGAAAAAATTCATCCTAAAAAGGACGGGAAGCAATAGTGAACTTCTCCTTTAGTTGTAAGTTGCCGCCTTTTTATCAACAGTATTCCTGACAGTAAAACTAAACTGATAAAAGTTGCCTATATTTGTAAGACCATGCGTTTTTACTAAAGAACATTTTGCGCAATAAATCCATATCATTGGAGACTATGAACAGATTCTTGCATGCTAAATAGAGCCAGTTTTAACACACGGCTGTGAATGCCGGACAATTAATAAACAAGCCGAACAATATGTGAGGTTAGGGAGATGTGGTTTTACAGGGGGAAAAAAACTTATAATTTCTTGGACAGCCAAGAAAAGCAACCTAGATGTTGTAAAAGAGACAGGTGCTCGAACACAACTTATCAAAAACATCAGAAACAGTCATCATATTTTGGTAATGTTATAAGAAGAGGGAGAATGGAACATGTTGTGACTACAAGAAAGTTTTGCCGAAAGAGAGAGGCAGAGCGAAAAGATACTTGTCAGCCTTTTGCCGTTGCATAGAGGGATGTCAACACTCGAACTGATACACGCAGTTGCGAATCGAAGATTATGGAGAGGCATGATCGACCACGCCAGTCGGCAAGGCAGTTGATGATTTTGAAGCATTATTTCGAAACAGGGTATGTGAAACATCAGACTGTCATGTTGTTTGCGGTGTCGTAATGTCATGTTAACGCTACGTTTTGTGATCTTGACAACTCAGTGGCCAATTGTGCTGATGACAATACTTTTGAAAATAGGTCATGATGCACACACGAGAAAGGTAAGCAAAGCTGGAGTAAACACTATTCATTGACTATGCAAGTATATAAAAGCGTATGCTGCACCAAATAATTTTGTTCATTTCAAAACAGATATGTTTGGCGTCTCCATCAATAAATGTAAGATACATTGTTTTGGGCGACTAAAGGCAGGCGAAAGTCAAAGTCAGGGTGACAGGTATCTAAGCGTGGATGAAAGTACCATTAGTGGACTTTAGCACCGATTAGAAACCAGTGGGTCAGTTTAGAGATAGCATCCCAGTTAGCAACCAGGGTGACAACAGCAGAGGAGGATCGTTTTATTCGGCTTCGTCACCTCAGAAAAAGGTTTACAACAGCTTCCGCAACTGCGCAGTAATTAACTGCAGGACATCATGTGTCTAACTGAATTGTTCGAAATAGACTGAGTGACTCTGGACTTTGGGCAGACGTCCTTACAGGGAGCCTGTCCTTACGCACCGTCATGGCGAAAATCGACTTCTTTGGGCCAGCTAGCATCGTCCTTAGGCAGCTGGCAAATAGAGACAAGTTTAATTTAGGGAAGAATCTGTCTTTTTGTTGCTTACAACTGTGACGATAAAGCTCCATGTTGCAGTGGTAAAGGGGCGATGTTGGGGGGAAATGATCAGTTACAATTGAAGGTGTCATTTCGTGTACATTTGAGGACACTTTAAAGCACAACGATTCGTCAACATCCAGACCCTATTCTGCAAGGTTGATCACCCAGTTCCTGACAGCCAACAACATTCTCACCCTTCCCTTTCCAACCCCGATAATGTCACAGAGCACTGGGATGAGCTGCATAGACGTGTTTGTCGCCAAGAAGTTACTCCAGCCAATCGTGCTGATTTATGAATGTGTGCATGCGTGTGTGTGTGCGTGTGTGTTAGTGCGTGTGTGGCTGCATTAAAAAAAAAAGTAAGTTTGTATGCACGTATGCTTGAGAGCGTGTGTGGACTGTGTGTATAGTGGTTTGCTTTTACCTTTCATGATTGAGTGCATCTTAGTTAATATTACCAGATCCACCAAGGGGTTCAGGCGAGTTCATGTAGAGATGACAAACACAAGAAAGAGGAGGTGGAGGAGGACGAAAAAGTGCTAATAATAGTAGCAGTAGTAGTAGTAGTAGTTGTAGTAGTAGTGTTCGCAGTAGTAGTAGTAGTAGTAGTAGTAGTAGTAGCAGCAGCAGCAGCAGCAGCAGCAGCAACAGCAGCAGCTGCAGTAGCTGTTGTCGACGTAGAAGAAGAAGGCTATGGATAAGAAGACGTAGTAGTAATAGCAGGAATGATAAGTGGAGGAGACTTTTCCAAGCCTTCATACGTATTGGGTATATAGGGCTAGACCTATATTTTATAGACCAACGGTACAAGATAAGTGATGTGGCCATCATCACGCCGACCGCCTTTACTTTCCAGGACTGTACCTGGTACCCACTCAAGACTGGGTCAACTTGGGAGCCAAAGTTATTTTTGAAAAGAAGTCTGGCTCCGCCAGTGAGTGAATCCACGACCCTCCGATCCGGAGGCGAGCGTCCAGCCATTACACCACGTTGATAGTAGGAATGAAGAAAAGAAAACCAGAGTTAAGAAAATAGATGTCTGAAATTGATTTTCTTTCTAAAACGAGTTATACCAGCTTAGAAGTGTCAACACAACTTTAGTCTAGCCATAATCATGTAAGTTAATTAACGATTAAAACCAATTAAAATATGTTAAATGAACAAAGAAACACACTGAGCAAGGGTATAGAGGTACCTCACTTGAAACAAACATTGACATGGATGTCCGGGAATTTCGACCTCGATTTCTAGAACTGTAAGAAGATCGGGAATCGACAAACCGGTGCCATCTTTTTCTCATCGCTCTTCTCACCTGGAAGATAAATAAAACTAGACACAGTCATTGTTCATTGTACGACAATGTTTACTATTATCGTCTGGTTCTTGCTTTTTTTTCTCTCCTCCTCCTCTTCTTTTTTCTTCTTCTTCTTCTTTTTCTTTTTCTTCTTCTATTTTTTTCAACACATCATCGTTACCATTATCTGCTTCTTCTTTTGTTTTCTCTGCTGATGCTGTTGCTTTTTTAATTATTTATATTTATTTATTTATTCATCCTCTTCTAGTGGGTTGAATGGTCTTGAAGGCATGGCCACCGCCTCGAGTGCTGGAGGTCCCGGGCTCAAGCCCTGGTGACGCTGGAATATTTTCACGGGGATTTATAATAATTTCCCCTGGTTTCTGGTTAGTAAGATCGGGTTTATTCGGACTCATGCTTGAGTTAGAAGTAAAACAGGGCATTTATGGGTTATCACCCTTGTGCCGTGATGTTCATCAGTTGTTTAAACAGACACAGCGATTCCTCTTCTTTCCTACATAACATGTGTAGAAAAATACTGCACGTATATCAAAACTCCAAATAACCATCACTCACACGGGTTGATACCTTTCCTCTTGCACTCACACCTACTCGGCCTCACACACATTCACGCTCTTATTTAAATTCACGCTGACTGACTCTCAGCATACACACATATTCATGTACACAATATATATATATATATATATATATATATATATATATATATATATATCTATATATATTTTAACTGTAATGTATATATATATATATATATATATATATATATATATATGTGTGTGTGTTTGTGTGTGTATATATATATATACATATATATATATATATATATATATATATATATATATATATATATATATATATATTATATATAAATGCGTATATTATATACACATAAAATACATGCACACACATAACAAGTTTTGTCAGTTATGTCGGCAGTTGTGGTTTATGCGTAGTGAGCTCGCTTTGTAGATCCGAAATACCTGGTTCGATGATAGTTGCAGGCAATTTGACAACAGCTTGCTTTACATTGCTTGCCACATTGGAGCTCCGACCGTTTAAAGAGCAACAACGAACTACCAACTGCGAAAATTGCCAAGTAAAACCAAACAGTGAAAATAATATTGTGTTTGATCGTGCAGCGTCCTTAAAAAATACGCTTAGTTTGAGGTTTCCTTCGCATAAATGTATCAAGTCCGATAAATCCACAAAGTGTCAAGGTTAATTAATTTGGGTAGGTTCCCTTACCTCAGCGTTCATGCCACAGTAGAGAAATGACACAATTATACCCTAGAAAAAAACATGATAAAAACATAGTGTCAATAGATTATCCATTGTTGGCATATATTAATACTCTTATTGTGTGTATGGGTGTGTGTGTGTTCGTGTGTATGTGTGTGTGTGTTTTGTGCACATGGGTAAAATAGTTTTATTGATAGGTTTATAACATTATTAACAAGCCACTGTTAAAACTTGGGAGCTCGTGAGTTCAGATCCTGGCGCAGCAAAACTATTTTCAAACATGACCTTACCTCCCATGTCAACCCAGCCTTAACTCAGCACCCTGTATATTATTGGGAAGTAAAGACGGCCGGCGTGATGTTGACCACATTACCTACCGAGTGCTGATTAGTCTGTCAAATATTGGTCTCACTATGTATGCTGAAGACGTCTGAAGGCGTGGGGAAGGGTCCATTCATCATCATCAGGTGGGCTATCATGCCTCTTCACAATCTGCGATCTCCTGCAGCATGTATCAGTGCGTGTGCCGACACACCTCCATGCCATGCAACGAGACTGTCAAGAATCTTCTCTCGTTGTCTTTCTCTAACCCTCATTCCGCAAATCTATCCAGTGGTCACAACATGTTCTATTTTCCCTCTTCTCATAACATAGCCGAAAAATGATGTCTGTACCCTTCTTATGTCAGGGATAAGTTGTCTTCGGGCTCCCGCCTCTTTCAAAACCTCTTGGTTGCTCTTTGTGGCTGTCCAAGGTATTCTAGGCATGAGAGTCCATTACATACCATTAAAACTTCCTAGTTGGTTTCTTTGCTTGACTGCAGTCGCAGCATTGATGGCGTATGCTCTACATATTCTTTCCATCATCATCCAACTGGCCTGCTAATTGTTTGTTTAAACATGTTTTTTTTTTTTCCCTTTTGTTTAAAACGTCAATTATAGATTTTTAATGTGCACGCTGCAGTGAATAATAATACATCAGTGACCTTCTGAAAATAGGACAAACATATATGCAAAACATAGATTTCTCTGCCTCCCCATCCAACTCTTTCTTCCGCCTCCTCCCTCTCACTCAGTTGTTGTTGTTTTTTTACCCGCCCCCTTCTTCTGTCTCTCTATTTATCCCTCTCTCCCCTTTTCCTTCTCGTTTACTCTCTCTCTCTCTCTCTCTCTCTCTCTCTCTCTCTCTCTCTCTTTCTTTCTTTTCTGTCTGTTTCTCTCTCACTCTCTCTCACACAAATATTTTAGGAGTGTGGCATGTGCATCGATTTTTAAAGTTACACACATAATGAATGACAGTATGACAAATTGGAATTAATTCACCTAAATGAGACAGGCACCTGTGAAAAGAAAGTCGAAGAAGTATATAGAACAATGAGCACTAGCTAGGTGACTGTGTAAATATAGTGCCACCCGCATTTACTTCTCAAGACATTACCCGTTACCCAGTCTATGCTGACTGCTACTAAGTTTAATGTTTGGTGCGGCACTATGAGCTTTGTGTTTCCTGTGAAATGGATTTCACTTGTGCAGCAGTTGTTTCGTGGTATTCAATGTGGCCTGTAGCCTGTTTACGTGCACGCTGGTGAAATACCTTACGTAATAATTCTACGTGTGTGTGGCCAACCTATTGTTCCCGACTAAGTTTTTAAAGACAAACTGCATTTCTGATAGAAACTGAAATTTGCATTTACTGCGTTCTCATATTTCTGGATTGCTCCAGTACTAACTGTTAGTTCACCAGTTTTTCAAATGAGACAGAGAGGAAAATCTCCTGGCACAGGAACGTAGCAAGTGCGGGGAAACCCGATTGCAATAAGTTTATGCCTCGACAAAGACTAAGACAGTCTGAAGCTAGGACAGCCTACGTTTTTTAATAGACCAAGTGAGGATATGGGCCTCTGTGGTGTCGTGGCTAGACGCTTGCCGGTGGATCTCAGGGTCGTGGGTTCAAGCCCGAACCGAACAGGACTTTTGTTTAAAAAGGTCTTTTGTTTCCAGGTGCACCTGCCTTAAAAAGGTACCAGGTAAAATCTTTGCAAGTAAAGGCGGCTAGTGTGAGGTTGACCACATCACGCACCGAGTGCCGATAGGTCTATGAAATATAGGCTTAGCCCTATATGTCAAATACGCTTGAAGGCGTTGGAAAAGACCCTTACCTTTTTTTTTCATGCAATGTCTAGGCGCAACGAGTCTCTAATTGTAACTAATAAGGAAACTAAATAGGGGGCGCTGGATCCGCACCACTGGGTGGTGAATTGATATATGACAAGGCAGATGTGGTCATGGCCCTTTGGGAACAACAACGGAATCAGTAGAGAAAGAAGATTTGTATGGCCTGGAAAGAATGAAGCACCTTGGTGTGACCAGAGGGTCTGGCTGGCTATCTACACTCAAGACTAACTTTTAACCAGATTGTGACCGGTACCATCATAACTGGAACTCTGCGCTGGCTGCTGAAGATGAGTACGGAGCATGCATTGGGAATGCCCCGAGTTCTGTGATGTCAATTTTTGACTCCACTCAAATCAACTAAATAGGGGACTTGTCCTAAGTGATTAACATTTCTAATGCGACACATCAGGTCATTGTGGTGTCTCACCTTCTGTGGTAGCTCAGAGAAGGTAAATGAGTCAGTCTGTTGTTTTCTTAAGCTAAGTACTGGAAAAATGGCCAGCCAGAGCAGTTACAGACGATGTGTTTTATTTGTTTGCTTTTTCTGCTCCTACCCTACAGAGAACATCCAGACAGTTTCTAACATCAAACATCGCAATCCCGCCGTTTGTTCCATGACCCCAGGTAGAAAATATAACTAAACCACTGCCCCAACACCCCCCCCCCCCTTTCCACCCGACAAGCATGCTGTAAAAGTTGACCAATAAGGGGCCTCTCCTTCGAAGTCAGAGTCAATGTACCTAAGTTGCATGAAACCAACAGTCTGCACACACATAAGCGACATCTGTAAAAAATGTATGTGCACGCAAATCTCAAGTCCCAGAAAAAGACCGAATTCTAGAAGTGGACGAACACATAGAATTGTCTACCGGAGTTTACAGCCGGTGAGCACTAAGAAAAATAAAGAAGAATCATTAAATACATTGAAGGACCATTCCCATAGTTTATGGCGAATTCGGCTAAATGGCTTTATCCTATATTTTCATAGACCAGTTGGAGTGGGGGAGGGTGGGGAGCACTGAAGTTATTTTAACTGCACATAGCTTTTCCTGGTACCTATGCTAGACTGATTTTAAACAAAAAAATGTCAAGACTACTTCACAGCCGTTTTGTTGTGTAACTGTGTTAGATGGCTATCCTTTCAAGAAAGTTGAGGTTAACTGGCCTATTTAAAAAGTCACGGTAGGCTGGCGAGAACGGCAATGAAAAATGAAGTTCCCGGAAATCGAGCTAGAGGTGGAGATCCGGAAAGGTGGATCCATGACTGTGAAGACGCATTGGATAGAATTGCACATTTAGCTGGCAACCTGAATAGATGTTTGTTTGTTTTAGTATCCAGAAGCCATGAGTTGTTAACCCTTAGGCTCGGTATTATGGATATCGCAACATTTCGGCCCTGATTCCATTGTAAATACCGGAAATCTGGGAGAAAATGTGGCTTTTCTGCCTACCCCCAGGATTGAACCCGGACCACAAGGAGTTCGTCACCCGGTCTCAGCGCAATCCGTTTTAGCTAACTACGCTAGAGAACCGTGCACCTGAATAGATAAAAGAGACTGTCAAGTCCACCGTGAAAAGAGCGACGTTCTGGAAAGGACTTGCTGAATGATGGTGGTGGCTATAATAAGAATAAACTCACAGGGAGCAAGTACAGCGGGGATCTACAGTCATCAGTAGAAATTATCCTCTTTCGACACACGTTTCGGCCCACGATTCCTAAACGTATTCGGAGGTGGGCCCACCTGAGTTCATGAAGCTCAGGGCTGCTTCCCCGCCGCACAGAATTACCGGATGGTGTTATACTTTCGGCCAGAGACAAGACGACTTGGTGGTTTCGAAGGAGGTACTGTGAGATAAGAAGCCGCCACGGCAGCGTAATTAGAGCAGTCCGCATGCCTGGACGACCGAGCGACAAGCTTACTTTGGTTTACCGGACACATCTTGGACTTTTTATTAGCAGTTGGCAGAGAGACACTGGCAGACAATTCGTACACGATGGACTTTTCAAAGGGATAAGAAACTCTTTTCCACTAGATACCCGGACCAACTCACCGAGGCCCGTCCCCTACGTTGTTGCGTTGCGTCCACAACCAGCTAGAGGCCCTTTCGGCCACCTCTCCCAGTTTTTTGAGTGCCCGTTTCCGTTCATTACCGCGCAATCCTAACTCTTTAACCACATTGTAGAGCGAAGTGGAAACGAGGCCTCTCGCTCCCACTTCGACGGCAAATACCCGCACTGTGTAAGCCTCGTTTTTCCTCAAACCGGCTGCTAAATCACTGTACTTCTCGAGCTTGTACAAATGATTCTCCTCCATCCGCGACTCAAACGGGACAGTCAACTCAATCAGAATGAGCTGCCGTTTTTGTGCAGAATGGAGAACGATGTCCGGTCGCAGGCCGGTTTTACGGATCAACTCGGGATACCGTTCATGTCCTGGCAGATCAACCGCCAGTAACCAGTCCCTCGCAGAATCTAGCGCAGATGGAGCGAATGCGATTTGGTTGACCTTACCTTTTGGAACCTGCCCAGCCTTGAGGAAACGAATGGGGACGATACTAGAACTGGCTCTGGCATTAGCCCTCATTCTAGCCTGGTCGACAACGGCTGCTAACTCCTTTAGCACCTTGTTGTGGCGCCAGGTATAGCGGCCTTGACCTAGAGCTTTCCTGCACGCGGACAGGACGTGCTCAAGAGTTTGCTTTGATTTGCACAACGGGCAAGTCGGATCGTTGGTCGCAGACCATTTAACCATGTTAACACCGGACGGTAATACATCGTACGCCGAACGAACGATAAAGCTCAGTCGCAGCGGGGTCATCCGCCAGATCTCACCCCATGTGAGTATTCTCGGCAATGCGCTCTCCAGGCTGACCCAATGGCCCTGCTGCGACTGTTGGGCTGCTTTCTGGACCCGAACCTCGTTTTCGTTGTCCCTCACCGTTTGTATCACCATGTCTCGGCGCTCTTTGGCTGAGGCCTTTGACCACCAATTGACTTTCCCGTGCCCTAGGCCTCGACGGTCGGTTTGTGTGTAACCCATTACCTCCTTCAATTTTAGTGCGTTCTGAGCAGATTCAATCGCTTCGAGGACTCTCCACTTCTGACCAGTCTTTAGAGCGGGCTGGACAGCGATGACATTTGGGTCTGAGGACTCGCGCAAAAGCATGGCGAGCCTAACTTTGCCGACTTTAAACTCTTCGGTTATTGACTTGAACGGAAGTACCAGCTTAGCCTGTTTACAATACAGAGCCACGTCGGTCAGACAAGGCGGTGCTCCAATCCACTTTCTTAAGGCTGTATTGATTTTCTTTTCCATGGTTTCCACTGCAGTCATCGTCACCTCGTAGACTAGCAGTGGCCATAGAAGCTTCGGAATCAACATGAATTGGAGACACCATACCTTGAATTTTCCGATCAGCCTGCATCGCTCGATCGCGAGCAGGCCTGTAGCCAGTGACTCGTGTATTCGCCGGACTTCCGCTCTGTCAGATAACTTCGAATCGTAAACGCGACCGAGACTCTTCACCGGTTCCTCCAGAACCGTAGGGATCTTGTTCCTTGCCACCGTAAAACTGGTCGCCGACACCTTGCCCTTATGGATTGACAGACTCCTCGACTTCTGCGGTTTGAACTGCATACCGCTCCATTGGACCACCGCGTCCAATCTTTTCAGGATCGTGCGGGCAGACTCCTCGCTGCCCGTTATAATAGTCGTGTCATCCATAAATGCGCGCAGTGGCGGCAACCAGTGATCCCCTATTTGAAGGCCCAGTCCGTAGCCGGCCGCACCGTCTAATAAGATCTGCATTGCCATGACAAACAGTATGGGTGAGATCGTACACCCCATAGCTATCCCAATCTGCAACTCAGTCCACCTCGTGGTAAACGTCGAGGTAGAGAAGCGCAAAGCGAACTTAGAGAAATATTGCTCGACCATTTGAATGATCTGTGTCGGTACGTGAAACATGCGAAGGGCTCGCCACAGAAGCCTATGGGGGACTGCCCCGTAGGCGTTGGCTAAGTCCAACCATATAACGTGCAAATCGGTTCTCTCATGCTTGGCTCTCTGGATAGCCTCCCAGATCATGGTCGCGTGTTCAAGGCACCCAGGAACGCCTGGGATACCACCCTTCTGAACACTCGTATCTATGTACTTGTTAGTCATCAGATACTGTGTGAGCCGGCGAGCCATGACTGAGAAGAATATCTTACCCTCAACATTCAACAGCGAGATGGGCCTGAATTGGGAAAGACTCTTCGAGTCCTGCTCTTTGGGAATGTAGACCCCATTTGCCTTTGACCACTCTGGACATATGTGATTGCGGATCCACGCTTGTCTCAACAAGACGTGAAGCATTTTTAGGATTTTCGGGCAACGCTTGTAAAGAACGTACGGGACACCGTTCGGACCTGGGGCAGACTTGCCGCTGGCTCTTTTCACAACGTCCTCAACCTCAGACCAAAGGGGAGGTACCATTCTAAATGGTACCTTCGGCACCGAAGGCTGTTTGAGTCCGCTAAGGATCTCTGGATTGTCATCAAGAGGCTCTCTCCTCTTCTTATCAGAGTACATCTTGCTTAGATGTAGCTCAAGTTCTTTCTGACTGACAACCAGAGTCCCAGACTTCGGTTGCTCGAATAGACCTCGAGCAAACTGATACGGGTCCCTAAAGAATTTCTCTCGCTCCCTTTTGGTTCTCCGTCTGTTATTACAGAAACGCTCGGCGCGACAGAGGGCACTGTGTTTGTTCTTTAAGTGCACCCACACTTCATACAGCCCCTCCCGTTCGCTGCCCGTAGCGGCTTTGAACCGTTTTCTGAGGGCATTCTTGTCTGCCCGACACTTCAGAATGTCCCTCTGCCTTCTGCTAATATTCTGCTTGGCACCCGGCTGTGCCTTTACTACTGTCCCGAACTCGCGGGAGCAGTGTTCGTATATTACATCACCAAATTTTGTAAGCTTGTCGCCTAGCGGCTTCTTGTTTAGAGTTTGTTTAAGTACCTCACATAATGTAACCTCCAACTTACACCACACCACCTTCTCGCTCGCAGGTGGAAACCTGATTCTGGAACGCACTTCTTCAGAAATCATCAAAGGTGCTCCTCCGCAGTCGACGTCATGGGCCTCTCCGGGCGAGTGGGGTTCCCCCTGCCCGTCGTTCCCTAACGACTCAGAAACTACCACAGGAGTAGTAGTTTTGCGACGGCGTTTACTGCGTGGAGCACCCTCGCATTTCATTCTTCCGGCATGCGTTCTCAGACCATGCAACCCCGTGAAGCTTTTCCCACATGTACAGAGCCAGCCCGGACGTTGGGCGAGTGTCTCAGTCCGGGGGCTAGCAAGGTCGTCAACGAGGGTATCAATCAGATTGGGCCCCTTCATTCTCCCCCCCTTTCGGAGGGCCCTGGGGGCATATTTCATTGTGGTCGTACGAAATCGGAGGTATTATACTGTGTTAGGGGTGATCAACCCGGTCCCACAGTCGACATCTGTCTCCAGATGTCAGTTTATCCCCCCGGCGATACCGGGGGGCCAGTCTTTCCAAAGGTGTCAAAAGGTCTTTCCCGATAGTCACCAGTCTTTCCTGGTAGTCTTGTGGGCTAGCCACGTACAATAAGAATAAACTCACAGGGAGCAAGTACAGCGGGGATCTACAGTCATCAGTAGAAATTATCCTCTTTCGACACACGTTTCGGCCCACGATTCCTAAACGTATTCGGAGGTGGGCCCACCTGAGTTCATGAAGCTCAGGGCTGATTCCCCGCCGCACAGAATTACCGTATGGTGTTATACTTTCGGCTATATGATTAAACGGGGCTCCCGAAATTTGTACTTGTTAATCCTACTGACTGCAGATAATGATAGGGAAAAATGGGAAAGAGGGAGGGTGGGGGGGGGGGGGGGGGGGGGGGGGGTTAATTCGAAAAGTATCAAGGAGCGTGTACGCTTGAAAGTTAGTTTGTGAACAAATGATAATATATATATATATGTATATATTTGTTGCGGGGGAAGGGGGTGGAAAAAATAAGAGCCATGTTTTTTAACAGAAAGCATCCATTACCAAAGTTCGAACCTGTATAAGATTTGAAGGAACAACAAAGCATACACTGAATGTACAACACACAAAACAGGAAGTCAAAAGATAACGCACGAAAGTCAGACAAAAAACAGGAAACAACTGATTGTAAAAGGTCGATGGCGAGCGTGTTTGACAAGTGTATTAAATGGCTGATTAAACAAATTATTATTTTAAGTCAGATACAGATATTTATAGGAAACTGAATGGCAAAGTGTGTGGCGTGAATGACTAGATAATCTACAGTATATAAGCTTGGAATAACATTATTTTTCTTTCTTTGCAGGAAGGAAAGAAGACACAAGTATGAAAGCTTACGGATTTATTGTCAGCAAGCATTGACAGAAAGGAAATCGTCATAAAGCTTATTATAGTTACACAAGACAGTAAAATGAAAACTCATTATAGTTACACAAGACAGTAAAATGAAAACTCATTATAGTTACACAAGACAGTAAAATGAAAACTCATTATAGTTACACAAGTCAGTAAACTGAAAGCTCATTATAGTTACACAAGACAGTAAACTGAAAGCTCATTATAGTTACACAAGACAGTAGACTGAAAGCCCATTAAAGTTTCACAAGACAGTAAACTGAAAGCTCATTATAGTTACACAAGACAGTAAACTGAAAGCTCATTATAGTTACACAAGACAGTAAACTGAAAGCTCATTATAGTTACCCAAGACAGTAAACTGAAAGCTCAGTGCTAAAGGGGAATACTTTTTTGTTTTTATAATATGGCTAGTTTTAAAAAAGAAACAGTGAGTAGCATGACAAAGGCACAAGACTAATTACTAGTCAATTTATCGCAAGTTTTTGGATAATGGAACTTTCGAGTGAAAAGTGGAATCGATTTGTCTTATAAAGTTACACAGACTTTTATTATTAAAATGACTTTGATTCAGAACAAACATAGAGAAACAAATTCATATTGGAGACTTGGCAGTGTATCTATTGTATTTCATAGCTCAGTCAATACAGGGTCATTATCGCACACTTACGATTCCCAGCCTTTTTCACTGTATAGCTCGTTTATCTGCAAGACGATGCTCTCGATACAGCCCGCCTGAAAGACACTCAGTCCCTCATCAGCTTCTCCCTTCATGTACTTCCTGCCTAGGATGTATTATAAGTCCTGTGCCCACCTCCGTGATGGTCGGTCTCTGCTCCTCTTACCCGATACAATACCCTCCGCTGCTTTTTTCTTTCCAGTCCACTGTCAGTCTTATGGTATGGGGGGGGGGGGGGGGGGGTGGGGGGGCTGCTGACAGGGATAAGGACTGAACTTAGAGGAAAACAAAATTAGGCAGGGAATCACCCTAACTGCAATATCACAGCTGATTTTAAACCATTCGGTGCCTTAGCAATAGGATATCAAGAGTCTTCCTGTTTGTTTTCCACTGTCGCTATTTCCATACAAAGTTCTAGTTGTCATCACATGTGACAGATGGTCTCTTCACAAAAAAGAATCCCGAAACACGATATATAACTCTTTTTTAATGTATGTGATTAAATATTATGGCCTGTTAATGCCTTTTTCAAAACATCTAGATTTCTCATTTTGCTCTCCAATAAGTTTTAGGAGCTCTTCTCTAAAACAACATCCCTGAGATTTTAACAAAGTGCTTGGCTCGTTTAGTTCTTCTGTATATTGACTAGAATGCAGTCAACTGAACGATTCCTTACCTGACAATAAGGTAAAATAGCATTGATATATCTATAGGCCAAGGTGGTTCCGATGTTGGCACTTGGGCTGGTGAAGAACACCAAGTTGATGATACCTAGAAGAAAGACCAGCACTAGTGTTGACTTGATGGTTCGG